TACTGCTTAGCATGTTCACATCCTGTCACTTCCAAAGATTCATGTCATTTATCTATTTTGTCTATCATGCTTGACATACATGATTCTATTTTGTGATTTAAACTTTTTATTTTGGCACTGACTTCCCTTGTAAGATTTCAATTATTTTTCAAGCCTTGGCTCGGGTCAAGACTGTAGCTCACGGACACTATCACCACCGAGGTAGGCAGATTTTGGATGACAAGGCCGGTCCATCTCGTGCCCAGGACCCCATCCAGGAGGAGCCAGCTGAGCCCACACAGTCTCCACATTCTGACAGCAGATTACACTCTGATGCCGTTGCATCTCCTTCACACGATGACGCTGAGGCTGAGCACATACCATCTCCACCATAGCCAGCTCAGTTAGTCGAGGAGTTAGACTAGCCATTACGCAGATACTCATGCCTTCCAGTGGCGCACAAGTTAGTCTTCGACACAGATTTCTTCTCCCGATCGGTGCTTACCCGATCCACTTATGATGATATATTACGGAGAGGCCTGGCAGCCATTCTTGCACCTGTCACATACCTGGTGTTACCCAAGGCTAGTACGGATGTTCTTCTAGAACCTCCGGCCTGCCCCGTGTAACACGGCAGAGCTGAGGACCTCCATTGATGGCCATCTGATTTCTATCACTATGGATACATTATCCAGGTCATGCCATTATCCAAATGGGAGGGCAGTCATGTGGATAATGGCATGACCTGGATATAGACAGCCAATGCCCTGCGCTCATCTGGAGTATAATGAGGAAGCTCTATGATGATCACATTAGCAAGGAGAGGCCCAAAAGGGCTAAGTCTCTCCCATTTGGCCACCTCATCACCCAGATCTTGCTAGACCAGTGCTATCTTTTCCATCCACGGGAGCACCTTGAGAGAGGATCCTGTCACTTCCAGAAGAAGGACTGGGATAAGAGTTACAATACTATTATTAGGAAATTACAGGATGACGCAGTAGAAGCGGTAGAGGAGTTAGAGGCTGAGGAGGCAGCAGCAGCAGTAGACCCGGCAGCGAATGATGCAGCAGTCGATCCGGCTGCCGTACACATGGACATTGATTTAGAGCAGCCTGCCAAGGACGCAGAGTAGCACTCTCCAGCTGGGTCACCCATTCACACACATAAGCAGACTCAGGCTTATCATTCTCCAGATCCAACACCTGAGGCTCCAGATCATATACGCAGCTTTGGAGAGCATCTTTAGGCTCTGGAGGATATAGTGGTATCTATCCGTGCAGAGACTGTCGCCCTTAGAGCTGACATTGCTTCCCTCTGCACGGATATCATAGCTGCATTTCGTGATCTATCCTAAGACATCCGCAGAGCACGCCCTGCCCATCCTACCTCATCCACCTAAGATTCCCAGTCCCTCTTCCTTATTATACTTGATATTTGTGATACTTGCTACATTTTTGTCACTGCATACTATTTTTGCAGTCGGTCTGTCAGCTTTGATTTTATGATGTACTATGCACTTTATCCTGCTTTATATATATGCTTTCTTTATGGATGTCATATTCTTATATTTTTATATCTGTCTGTTGACTCCATCAGGTGTATCTCAGTGACTTCAGTGAGAGAGAATACTGCCTAAAATTTTTAGGACCACCCTTTTACCACTCTCTAATTTTCAGTTGTTATCCCATTTACACTTGCATGACCACTGTGCACTGTATTATCCCCTTTTTTATCTGATGAGTTTATCCAAGTGCCAAAGTTCAGGACTAGTATACTCTTTCCTTTTATCCTCTTTCCACATTGAGGACACTGTACCATTTAAGTTTGGGGGTAATAGTGCTTTGCAGTGTTTGTTTTTAAATGCAAAATTTTGAGCATATCTTGTGTATTTGAGGAATTTTCTATGATTAGTCCATTTTAGTGATGATTTTGATCTTTCGAGGACTATATTGCTTATAATTTAAAAATTGCTTGACTTAAGAGTTCAATACTCCTTGTATGCCTTGTGGATGCCATTTAGGAGTAAACTTTTTGAAAGATTGATATCTTGCTTGCATTTGTGGTTTACATCATCCCGATTTTGTGATTGTTTTGAGATTCACTCTAGGATTCTACACTAGCACAGGCACACACTAGCATTCATTTGTGGGGTACATGCTTTGTTGATTATTGAATTAGTTATATTCCAATTGGACTAGTAGTGCATTGAAAGCTTTAATTCTTGATAAAGGTGGATAACAACCCCTTTTCACTAAGTAGCCAGGATTTTAGCCTCATCAAGAATTGAACTTCTCGCGCCGAAAGGTGGAGGGCCCAAACTCTAGGTTAATAAATGATCAAAAAAAAAAAAAAGTTGCAAAATCAATAAAAGTGAGGACTTCTCCCAAAAAGTGAGAAGTGGGAAATGATTAGATGGAGGTTGTCTTGATTTGTAGCCTAGTTAATTTGAGCTTGTAAGTCCGTAGGGGTGTTTGAACACCTAATGCCCTAAAGCCATCTAGTTTGGGAGTCATTGACCTAACGCTCAACCTCATGAATCGCTAGAAAGCTTAATAGATCAACACATTGCACTATGCTTCCATCTTTGATCCTATGAATAAATAAAAAAAAATCGAGTGAAAAGAATAAGCGCACCTAGAACAATAAAGCTTTAATAAAAAGGTCCACTTTTGTCTTGATGATCGGTACTAGATTTGTGTGCTAGTTTGAGGGTAAGGATGTGATTAATTCTTTAGTTGGCTAAGATAACAACATATTTGATGCCGGTCCACTCAAAAAGGATTCTAGAGTTATTTTGATTTGTATGATCATTGTTTTGATGTGTGGAGGACCATACTTGTTTGCTTGATATTGAGATTTTGGGAGATTGCTTAGAAATGTTTGAAACATTGCATACTTGAGGTAGTTAAGGATACTAAAGATAGAGTGGGCTGGATCTGACCCGAGAGGAAAGCATCGGGTTGGGCAGCAGGTTCTAGTCCAAGCTTAAAGAGTAATACAACAGGCCCAGCACCTGAGATCCACCGGATTGGTTCAAGCCCAAAAGGAAGAAGGCCCGAAGACTAAGAGCCCAACATAAGAAATTAGCTATAACATTTGTAATTGCCTATAAATAGGCATAGAAGAGAAAGAAATTGGAAGAGAAAATGAAAAATGTAATGAAACGCTAAAGAAATTTGGAGAGATATTTTCTTGCATTTATAATTGGCACCGTCTGTGGGAAACGTTGAAGATTGATTCATGTTTGATCAACATCATGTTTATTCAGACTGATTTGCGAAGACGAAGCTTGATTTCTGGAAGTTGAATCCAGATCTGAGGGATTGCGGTTTGTCCTTGAGAGGTTCTTGATTCCTGATTGATTTTGAGAAATTGACGTCAGATTTATGCAGTGGTGATTCATTCTATTGTGGCTCGATCTGTCAAGTTCAAAGCCAGGAAAACTCAGATCTAGCAAATGGTGAACGTAATTCATAAAATTTGAGTCCAAATCTGACGTGATTCATGTTAGAGAAACTCATATCTGATTTGGAATTTGTAATTCATGCCTTTGCTCCGTTCCGGAATGATGACTGGGGGTTAAAGCTCCAATCCGGTAGAGAATGTCCAGCAGATGAAACTTGATGAGTTGATGAACATGATCGAAGATCTCAGGAAAGAGAATGCAGAGCTAATGACTGAAATGCAGCGTCAAGAAGCTCCGGTGATTCCGTAACCGCTCCTGGCAGGAGATTTAGTTCTATGTCCTGGTGCTGCACATCATGGTTAGGAGGCAGGGAACAACCAAATATATCTTCGCCACGAGGAGGTCCGACCAAATGATTTGCCGCCAAATTCTCATCGTGTTGATGATCGTGAAGGATCAACTCACGTGGATCCACGGCGTGAGCAAATCAGGTGAAACGAAGCCATAACTTTCGATCCATATCACGAAATGCTCGACCGAGAAGAAGCAATGGGATTTGATCAGCACAAAGCTATATTGCCGTGGCGCAAGGAGTTTATGGAGGAAAGATCATTCGATCCGTCTTATCGGCCTTCCATGGCAACATTCGATTATCGAAGTTCAGAAAGGAGATCTATAGATCAGAGAGCTATCACAGGGTTCCAAAGGGAGAATGAAGCCCTCCGCTCAGCAGCTTGAATGGTGGACTCGCCGTTTACCGATGAAATTCTGAATGCTCCGAGTCCGAGGAAATTCTCCATGCCCGTTTTTATTCTGTTTGACGGGACGACCGATTCGATTGATCATGTATATCATATCCAGTTGAAAATGGCCTACAAGTCTAGCTGGACCAGTGCTCAATTGGTTCAAGAACCTACTGAGGGGCTTAGTGGATAGTTTCCGAAGCTTATGTGATTGGTTTATAAGCTAGTACTATGGGAATAAACATCCAGCAAAAGACATTTCGAGCCTATTCACAATGAAGCAGCATGAGGACGAGCATCTCCAAGCTTTTCTTACTAGGCTTAACCTTACCAAAAGCATGGTGATTAAATATCATCCTTCTACAGTGGTTCAAGTGTTTAAATTGGCCATGACTTATGGCACTCCATTCTACACAAGCTTAGTAGTGAATACACCGAAGACTATGGATGAACTCAATGAAAGAGCCGATAGTTTTGTGCGTTTAGAAAAAGAAGAGACAGCCAACGCTCGAAAGACATCCATCATATCCACATAAGAAAAAACCAAAGCAAAGATCAGGTAAAAGTAGGTTCAGCCACAGCGTCAGACCTCCAAGAAATCTGAGAAGAGGCCCAAAGAGGAAGAGCTGGTTACTCTATTAAAAGTCACTTTAGCGAGGCTGTACTAAGAAAATAAAGATAAGTTCCGAACTCTTTTACCAATTAGACAGCCCCTCGAACAGAGGGACCAGTCTAAGCATTGTGCATTCCATTCTGACTTTGGCCATCAAACTAATGAATGAAGGAACTTAAGGAGATAAGTAGAAATGCTGATAGCCAGAGGGGAGTTCGCAAGTTATATTCAAGGCCCGGCGGTAGAACAGAACTGACTGATGGAGCAAGTGAAGAGGAATAAGAAGCCGAGCTCCCACAACCCACATCTAGTTCGTATAATCAATGCAATTCATGGTCGGCCGGAACCTAGCAAGGAGTAAGATGAGCTACTCTGAACGCGTTTTTGTCAAGCACAAATGAAGAAGAGGATCGGCAGTGTGAATGCCCTGCACCAGCAGAGCGCATCAACACAGATAAAGTTTGATAAGACGGATCTGCTGCATATTTAAATTCCTTATGAAGATCCGTTGGTTGTCAGTTTGACAGTGGCAGAATACCTGTACGAAGAGTTCTAATCGATCCTGGAAGTAGTGCGAATGTCATGCCGAGGGACACATTTTATCGGTTTGAGATCAAGCCAGAAAAGGTCAAGCCCACTGGAAACCCCTTATTAGGATTTGATGGCAAGAGGGTAGAACCCATCGGTATGGTGGAAGTGGAAGTACAAGCTGCGGAAAGAGTTCTGATGAAAAATTTTGTTGTTATTGAGATCCACCCCTCTTACAACCTCCTGATGAGAAAAGGGTGGATTCACAGGGTACAAGGTGTTCCCTCCACTCTGCATCAGGTCATGCAATGTCTAGGGCCAGACGGAACTAAAGTGATTGATATTCATGGCGATCAGGTGGTAGCAAAAGAATGCTATTTCGTAACATTAAAATCTGCTGCAAAGAGAAAAGCTCCCATCCGCTTTGCAAGCCCTAGATAGCAATTACAGGAGCCTCCACCCAGTTGAAGTGGGGAGGAGGAGTTGGGGAACTTGACTGAAGAACCCCTTGTTAATGTGCAGATCGATCATAATAAACCGGAACGAACGACCAGAGCGAGAATAAGACTCGACGAAGGAGAGAAGCATGAGTTAATTGATTTCTTGTCTCGAAATGCTGATGTGTTTACTTGGAGCCACTCAGACATGCTCGGAATAAGCCCTTCGGCATCTTGCCACTCCCTCAACGTCAATCCGAATGCGAAGCCTATAAGGCAGAGGCAGAGAAGAATCGCTCCAAAGCGTAACCGGATCATAGCCGAGGAGGTTAATAGATTGCTTGATGCGGGATTCATTAGAGAAGTATATTACCTAAACTGGCTTTCGAATGTTGTAGTTGTGCGAAAGAAGAATGGGAAGTGGCGAGTATGCATTGATTTCACTAATTTAAACAAAGCTTGTCCGAAGGATAGTTTCCCGCTACCAAAGATTGATCAAATGGTGGACGCCACTATTGGATACGAACGTTTAACTTTCTTGGATGTTTATTCTGGATACAATCAAATCCCCATGAACCCGACTGAGGAGGAGAAAACTTCTTTTGTAACCGAACGAGGGACCTATTGCTACAAAGTTATGCCGTTCAGATTAAAGAATGCTGGGGCAACTTATCAGAGATCTGATCAACAAGATTTTCAAGGATCAGATGGGGAAGACTGTAGAGGCTTACATTGACAACATGGTGGTGAAAAGCAAGAGAAGAGTTGACCATTTGAAGCATCAGTAGGACGTGTTTAAGGTATTGGGAAGATATAGAATGAAGCTTAATCCAACCAAATACTCATTCAGCGTGAGTTCTAGTCAATTCCTAGGGCATGTGGTTAAGCATAGAGGAATCGAGGCTAGTCCAGCCCAAGCAGAGGCTCTGACCAAGAATGCTGAACCAAAGACAATTAAAGAAGTACAAGCCCTCACCGGTCGGATAGCTGCATTGAGCCGGTTTATTTCTATGCTGTCAAATCGCTGCAAGCCATTCTTTGATACCATAAGAAGCCATAGGAGATAGGCCTGGGGGGATGAACAGCGACAAACGCTAACTAGTTTGAAAGAATATATGCGGAGCCCTCCAATCTTATCTGTTCCCAAACCAGAAGAAAAGTTATTTTTATACCTCGGGGTATCTAATATTGTGACGAGTGCTGTTCTGATCCGCTGCAAGGAAGGAGCTCAGTACCCAGTGTTCTATATCAGCAAAACAATAACCGATGCCGAACGAGTGATACTCTCACTCGTAAATGCAAAAAGGAAGTTAAGGCATTATTTTGAATCCCATCCTATCATCGTTATGACCACTTTTCCAATCAGAGTAATCCTGCATAAGCCAGACCTCTCGAGGAGAATAATGAAGTGGGACATAGAGTTAAGTTCGTTTGACATAACGTATGAACCCAGAACGGCTATTAAAGGGCAAGCAGTGGCTAATTTTTTGCTAGAATGTGATTCAAAAGATGTGGAGGAAGACCTTCGCAGTTGTCTATGGAAATTCTTCGTAGATGGATCCTCAAATCAGATGGGGGCAGGCATTGGGATCAAACTACAGACGCCAGAAGGCACATTCATGAGTCAAGCGCTCAGACTTGAATTCCGAGCCATTAATAATGAAGCAGAATATGAAGCGTTGCTGATGGGACTTAAGTTAGCCAACAAGCTGAAAGTCAGGAACTTAACCTCATTTAGTGACTCACAGTTGGTTATTCGGCAAGTGAATGGTGAATGTGAAACTAAGGATGAAACAATGGAGGTATACCATTCTGTCGTCATGCGCGAGGCTAAAAACTTTGATAATGTCAAGTTCGTCCAATTACCGAGGGAGCAAAATGAAGACGCCGATCGGTTGGCATGCCGTGCTCTGGGTTCTGGGGTGACATTGGCGAGGGTGATCCCAGTAGGTATATTAAACCAGCCATCCATCTTCAAAGAACCTTCAGGCTCAGATCCTTGGCAGGTGAATGTCACTCCATATGAACCGAGCTGGATAAATCCGATCATAACTTATATACGGGATGGCATTCTGCCTGAACAAAGGGATGAAGCTCAGAAAATCAAGTCGAATGCAGTGAAATATGCCATAGTGCAAAACTAGTTGTACCGAAGGTCTTTTTCTGGGCCATACTTAAAATGTGTCACCCCCACAGAGGCTCGGCAGCTATTGCGAACCATTCATGAATGTGTATATGGGAATCATTCAGGGGGGAGGTCTTTAGCGCACAAATCAATGACGCAAGGGTACTTTTGGCCGAACATGTCACGAGATGCAGAAGAATTCTCTAGAAGATGCGATAAATGCCAAAGGTTCGAACCACTGATTCACCAACCACCTGAAGATTTGCATGTAATAGCCACGCCCTGGCCTTTCGCGCAATGGGGGATGGATGTGGTTGGCCCTCCGCTGACCGCGAGATCACAAAACAAGTACGTTCTGTTAGCAATGGATTATTTACCAAGTGGGTGGAAGCAGAGCCATATCCCAGTGTAACCCAAACTCATGTGAGGCGCTTCATTTGGAATAATATTATTTGCCGCTTTAGTGTTCCAAGGTCGATTGTCATGGATAATGGAACTAATCTCGATAGTAAACAAGTAAAGGAGTTGCTAGAGGAGTATGGAATCAACCAGAAGTTGGCAGCAATAAGTCATCCACAGGTAAATGGCCAAGTAGAAATCACAAATAGAACAATCTTTGCTTACATCAAGAAGAAGCTTGAGGATCAGAAAGGAAAATGGTTAGATAAACTGCCAAACGTCTTATGGGCTTATAGAACGACCCCAAGACGGCCGACCAGAGAGAGCCCATTTGCCATGGCATATGGTACCGAGGCAGTTATATCGGTCGAGCACTTGGTTCCGACTGTCCAAAGCTTAGCATGGAACTGAGAGCAAAACGACAGTATGTTGAGGTTTAACCTCGATATGTTGGAGGAAAGGAGGGATGCAGTGGCAGTGAGGCTCGCATCCTACCAGTAGACCCTTATGAATAGCCATAACAAAAAAGTAAAGCACAGAGACTTTGTACCACGTGATCTGGTTCTGAAGAGGAAGGTAGGAATGGTTAAAAAATGGTGTCACCTTGGGAAGGCCCATATAGAATTGTAGAAGTCATAGGAAAGAGGGCTTACACCTTAGAGACCATGGCCAGAAGGCTGGTCAACAAACTATGGAATGCTACATCTCTGAAAAGGTATTATCAATAGAAAGTCGAGTTCCAATTTTATCATTGCTGATTTTCAAATTGTGTACGTATGATTGTACAAAATTTGGGAATCTATAAAGAGCTATCTTCTTCTGAAAAATTGAGTGTTTGAAAAACAGCAAAGTAAGTGGTAGTTGGCACTATGAGCCGAACGCCAAAAACTTGCAAAAAAATAAAGAATGAAGGTGGCAAGTGACATTCTAGCCGAGTGCCAACCACCCAGCAAAGTAAGTGGCAGCTGGCACTATGAGCCGAACGCCAAAACTTGCCAAAAAATAAAGAGTGAAGGTGGCAAGTGGCATTCTAGCCGACCGCCAACCACTCAGCAAAGTAAGTGGCAGCTAGCACTATGAGCTGAATGCCAAAAACTTGCCAAAAAATAAAGAGTAAATGTGGCAAGTGGCATTCTAGCCGAGCGCCAACCACTCAACAAAGTAAGTGCAACTGGCATTATGAGCCAAACGCCAAAACTTGTCAAAAAATAAAGAGTGAAGGTGGCAAGTGGCATTCTAGCAGAGCACTAACCACTCAGTAAAGTAAGTGGTAGCTGGAACTATGAACTGAACGCCAAAAACTTGCCAAAAAATAAAAAGTGAAGGTGACAAGTGGTATTCTAACCGAGCGCCAACCACTCAGCAAAGTAAGTGGCAGCTGGCACTATGAGCCGAACGCTAAAAACTTGCCAAAAAATAAAAAGTGAAAGTGGCAAGTGGCATTTTGGCCGAGCGCCAACCACTCAGCAAAGTAAGTGGCAGCTAGCACTATGAGCCGAACACCAAAACTTGCCAAAAAATAAAGAGTGAAAGTGGCAAGTGGCAAGTGGCATTCTAGCCGAGCGCCAACCACTCAGCAAAGTAAATGGCAGCTGGCACTATGTGCCGAACGCCAAAAACTTGCCAAAAAATAAAGAGTGAAGGTGGCAATTGGCATTCTAGCCGAGCGCTAACCACTAAGAAAAGTAAGTGGCAGCTGGCACTATGAGCCGAAAGCTAAAACTTGCTGAAGCTGAGTATGAAATTAATTGTTATTACTGATGAACATATGCAATCAATGGGAAAATGTAAAAAATCTTTTTTGAAACAAAGTTCAGCCAAAAAATCTGTCATCTCATTTATAATAAGAATTTTGAGGTTACAACCCGAGAAGTATACAGATGACATGAATACAAAAAGAAAGAAGTTATGGCAACAGGAAAACCCTAACTGACTTCCTCTGTTCTATCACCTTCCTGGTTGAGCTGACCCATCTCCTCGCCACCATTGGTCACCCCATCTCCATGAGAAGGAGAATCAAGCTGAAATAACAAAGTCGTTCTGTTGAGTCTCAACCTCGACAGTGGTCGCAAAAGGGACCAGGGTGGACAGAGGAGGCATGTCCAAAGGCTGATCAGTGGTAGGAGTAGGAGTGACCCTGGAAGAAGCAATCTCCTGACACTCATCAAAAATATGCTCAGCAGCAGTGGAGTCTGGATCAACATAGGCTCTTGGGGGATCAAATTTTAACTCCTTATCAACCTCATCTGGAGTAGAACTGGTCTGGCCTTCAGCAGGAACGCGATCGGTATAACCCTCTCGAAACCCCTGTGCATACCTGAGGGCACTGACCCTAGAAAAGCGTGCATGAAGAGCCATCATGCCGCCATTTACTTTGCCAATAATGTTAAGCAGGGCATCACGTTCTTCCAAGGCCCTTTTCTCAAAAGCCATTCGCGCGGTCTGCTCATCACTAAGTAGGTGTTAAAGTTCTCCTTTCTCAGCCCTAAGTAATTCACGCTCAGTATACCAAACACTCTTCTCAATTTGCAGAGTGTCCTTTTCGTCCTGGAGAGAACCTGCCTCCTTTTTCAGAGCATCTCTCTCTTTTTCAACTTTGTCAAGCTGAACCATCAACTCAGCATTTTTGGTGCTGATGATCTCATTATCTTTTTTGGCCACATCAAGGCTATCAAAAAACTTACGAGCCTTGGCATTCCCTAATTCCACTTGCTTCTACATGGCCATTATACCGAACAAGGTCTGTAGAGATATGCATGAATACTGGTTAAATGGAGCACATGGTCAGAGGAGGTCAAATGTAAAGATTATGAAAAGATCTGGTGATTAAGGGGGGAAAAGTTACCTCCATGGCAGATAAGGGGAAGCGGCTGAACACTTCTTTTTGAGACAAACCTCTGGCACCTCAATGTCATTGGGAGTCCACATATTCCTATAATATGCCATGGCAGTAGGACTATCTCTGAACATGGTTTCGCTCGGCTTCACGGTTGTCCTATCCGCTCAGATGAACCGAGGACTCCATGGTGCCATTACGGAGGCAGAAGTAGTGGCTGTAACAGACCAAGAGGGGGCAGGGGGCCTAGTTGGTGGAGACACAGGCACACTCGGCCTAGAGGTCTTCTTGTCGAAGGGATACCATCTGGGCCAGATGTACCATCACGCAGGGGCCTCTTCCCTCTCTCATTTTCATGAGCAGCAACAGTGGTAGT